ATGATATGTTAATGAGCCAAAAATTGTTTGCTCATTATATGTTAATGAGCAAAAAATGCAAGCTTAAACTTAAGATTAAGCCTGATCAAAGAAAAAGGGGGGGGAACTGTTATGAATAAAAAGTTAGCTATTTTTGTTTAAGGTTACAGAGCTAAAACTGGTTGGACCAGTTGCTGTTAAATTAGCTTCATTGTTAAGAGTTCTTCTTTAATTGCCCGTCAATGGTTGGTGATTTAGCCAAAAACCCCTAAAAACAACGAGCCAATATAGAATTAGGGGACCTAGGTAGGTGATGTCTAAGGATGGGCGCGAAGTCCAGTACCTGCTTGGATCTTTTTTGCTTCTCACCCTGACCTGAAAGGATGTTCACTAAGGAGGGGACCCGAAGAGTTGGACCGACAAGTAGGAATCTGCGAATCTCCCGTGAGGACGCAGTCCCCAGCTCTGCCTGCAGACCAGCATCATCATCATCATCACCCTCCTCCTCCGTGCCACTCTTGGGGACAGCGGCGGCGTGGGCGCAACCCGTCGATTTCTCCCCACCTGAGCTGAATCTCTTTAATAAAGGCATTAAAAAGGAGAAAGATCTCCTGCCATATTTATGTCACCAGTCATTCCCAGTGTGAGCTCAGTCCCTCCCAGTCATTCTCTATGATGATGCAATTTGCTTCCAGCATTTTCCCAGTTGCTCCCAATTCCTCCTGCTTTCATCCAGTGTGTTCCCAGATCTCCCAGTTGCCTGTAGTATAGTCCAAGTAACCCCCAGTATGATTCCAGTCTCTCCCAGCAGGTCCCCAGTCACTCCCACTTGCCCCCATCAGGTTCCCAGTTCCCCCAGCACATTCCCAGTCTCTCTCAGTCTGGTCCCAGTCACCACCCATATGGTGTCAGACACTCCCAGTATATCCCAGTTGCCCTGAACATTCTTGTAGTCATTGGCAGGCACCCCCAGTTAGCTCAGCGTGGTTCACTTGCCCTCAGTTTTATCCCAGTTGCTCCCAGTTCCTCTAATTATGTCCCCAGCTGGCTCCCAGCATGGGCCTGGTAGCTCCCAGTAACCCCCAGTAAGGGTTCAGATGGTCCAGTCACGCCCACTCCAATCCCAATATGATTGCAGCTGGTCCCAGTCCAGTTCCTATTGCTCCCAGTCTGATGCCAGTACCCCCAGTGTGATCCCAGTTGCTCCCTGTCAATGCCAGCATGATCCCAGTAGCCTCCAGTATGATCCCAGTGACTCCCTGTCTTTCCCAGTTTATCCCAGTTGCTTCCAGCTTGTTGCCAGTTACTCCCACTTTTTCCCAGTTGCTTTCAGCATGATTCCAGTTGCTCACAGCCACTCCCAGTCAATCCCAGCATGATTCCAGTCACCCTCAGTGTGATCCCAGTCGCTCCCAGCGCTGGCCCATCTCTTCCCAGTGTGGTTCCATCACTCCACTATGGTTACAGATACTCCCAGTATGGTCCCAGTTGGACCCAGTTACCCCTGCTATAGTCCCAGTTCCTCCCAGCATGGTCCCACTCACTCCCAGTTGCCCCCAGTGTGGTCCCAGTTCTCTACAGCATGGTCCCTGTTGTTCTCTCTAGAGTTCCTGTCATCCCAGTGTGATCCCCCAGTCATGCCCAGAATATCCAAGTTGCCTCCAGCATGCATCCAGTCCTTCCCAGTTCCTCCAGTTTGCTTGATCCCAGTTTCTCTCAGTTGCTCCCAGCAGCCCGAAGTGTGATCCCAGTCACTCCCTTTCAATCCCAATGTGATGCCAGTAAGCTCCAGTTTGATCCCAGTCACATGACAGTGCTGCCAGTGTAATCCCAATATAATCCCAGTTGCTTCCAGTCTCTCCCAGTATGGTCCCAGCTGCCTCCAGCATGGTTCCCGTTGCTTCCTAGATCAGCCCAGTCAGTCCCAGTATGATGCCATTTGCTCCCAGCATGCTCCCAGTTGCTCCCAGTCAGGCCCAGTCTGGGGGATGATGTGCAGGGTGTGTTCCCAGTCACTCTCAGATACTCCCAGTATTAGTCCAGTCCCTCCCAGTGTGATCCAAAGATGAGCCCAGTGTGCTCCCAGTCCCTGCCAGTAAGAACCAGTTGTGCTCCACATGGTTCCAGTTGCTCTCTTTCAGCCTGCCTTTTGTTCCAGTCACTCCCAGTTCCTCCCAATCAGCCCCAGTGTAGTGGCACTCACTGTCAGGATGATCCCAGTTGATCCCAGTATAAGCCCAGATGTTTCCAATCACCCCCAGCATGCAGCCAGCCATTACCAGTTCCTCCCAGTTGCTCCCAGCTGCTCCCAGTCACTCCCAGTATATCCCATTTGCCCCTATAATGGACTCAATTGCCCCCCACAGGCTCCTACTCACGCCCAGTGTGATCCCAGTATGATGTCAGAACAAACCCAGTACAGTACAAACCCAGTACGGTCCCAGGCACTCCCAGTATATTCCCAGTAGAGCCCAGTCCCTGGCAGTGCTGCCAGTGCTGGGATCCCGCAGCCCTCTGTGCGTTCCCTGTCCCTCCTGTGCCGAGAGGAGCCCCAAGGGCTGGCAGTGGCCAGGCAGGGTCCCCAGTTGTCCCAGTTTGGATGTTGGGCCCCCAGTTGTCCCAGTTTGCCTCTCCTTTTGCCCGGGCCGGGTTCCCCCCGCCCGCCCGCCCGCAGCGGCTGGGAGCAGCCGAGAGCCCCGCGCTGCCCATGCCGAGCTGTCCCGGCTCCATCCCCGCTCCTGCCGCGGGTGGCGAGGGCTCCGGGAACGGGGCAGTGAGGGTGTGGCTGCTGCTGGAGGAGGAGGGAACGGGAGGGGGAGGGATGAAGTGGAAGAAGGAGGTGGAATTAGGGAGGAGGAGTGTCGGTGGGGAGATGGAAGAGGAGGGGGAAGGCAGAGAGAGAGCAGCCACAGAAAGAGAAGGAGGTGTGGTTAGGGAGGGGAAGGATTAGGAGAAGGCTGGGGTGTGGAATAGCAGGAGGGGTAGGAAGAGGAAGAGGAGGGACAAAGGCGGGTCAAGGCTGAGCTGAAGGAAGCACGGGGTCGAGCCCTCCCTGCATTCGCAGCCCCTACCTGTGGGATGATCGCCCCCCCATCGCGCAGGTGAGCGGGGAGGGGGAGCTCGGCCCAGATATCCCGAGGGGTCCCTGGTTTGGGTTTTTTTTGGGGGGGATGTTTGGAGAATGAAGAAGTGCAAGGCTGAGCGGAAAAGGCCCCTTGGGGGGACATCGGGGGGGTGGTGGTGGCGGCTGCCGGCAGAGGCAGCCTGGAAGAGCAGAGCCCTGTGTCCCGCAGGAGCCCAAAGTGGGGAGCCCAGAGAGGGGGGAGCGCCGCCATTGGCGGGAGCCTCAAGAGCCTTGAGAGGGGCAGGGGGGACTGCTTGGAGCCCCTGCAGCCCAGAGCAGAGAGTGAGGGGAGAAGGGAGCCCAACAGGGAGCCCAAAAAGCCCCGGCACCCCCGAATGGGCAGAGCGAAGAGGGGGCAGCGTTTGGGATTGCCGGGACTCCCAGCAGCCTGGGGAGGGCGGGCACCGAGGAGAAGGGGGACCCCCAATGCAAGCGGGACCCCAGCAGCTGGGACAGGGGGAACCCCGAAGACCAGAGGGGAGGGAGCGGGGACGGGGAATTGCTGGGAGGCTTTTTGAGAGCTCAGCCTTGGTGTTTGGGAGGCTTTTATGGAACCCAGATGGCCGGTGACGACGCCAACACCTGGGACAGAGGGGAACCCTGAACATCCGAAGGGAGAGACCAGGGATAGGGAACTCCTAAGAAGGCTTTTTAGAGCTGAATCTTGGTGTTTGGGAGGTTTTTCTGGAGCCCAGAGGGCCAGTGACTTGTAGAGATGGGCTTGGGCAGAGGGATTTTCAAAGTCAATGTACTCATCCCTTGCTTTCCCCAAACCAGGATTTTCCATTGCCAGTTCTTGTGAAGCTGTGAGGAAGAGGAAGATGTCCCGGGACACTGAGGCAGGTGAGGAGGAAGTCAGTGCCCCTTTCCCCTCTGTGCTGCTCCGTCTCCCAGCCCAGCAAAGCCCCGGCTACATGACAGCCATGCTGCCTGTGCATCCCATCCTCTCCTTGTCCTTCCTCCCCCAGAGCAGGAGCTGAGCATGGAGAGCAGGGAGGACAAATCCCCACAGCAGAACCTCGTGGCAGAGGCCGTTTTGTGCGGCTCCACTGTGAAGGAACCCAACGGGGAGGAAAAGCCCCGGAGATGCCGCACCAGGAGGGGCTGCAAACGCAGATCGCGGGGATCTGAGGGGAAAGACCCAGCCTGGGCCGGGAAGGTGGCCGGAGATGGAGCCAGAGCTCGGAGCTGGTGGACCATGAGCAGCTCCATGATGGGGAGAAGCCCCACACCTGCATGGAGTGTGGGAAGAGCTTCAGGTGGAGATCCAGCCTGATCCAGCACCAGAGGACCCACACTGGGGAACGGCCCTACGAGTGTGATCAGTGCAGGAAGAGGTTTCAGACCAGCTCCCATCTCCTCCTGCACAAGCGCACGCAAACAGAGGAGAGGCCCTTCCGCTGCCCCGACTGCGGGCAGGGCTTCTGGCACAACTGCAGTCTTGTCAGGCACCGATGCATCCACACTGGCGAGAGGCCCCACAATTGTGAGGAATGTGGGAAGAGATTCAGCCGGAGCTCCACCCTGATCCAGCACCAGAGGACCCACAGAGGAGAGAGGCCCCACGAGTGTGGGGAGTGTGGGAAGATCTTCAGCCGGCGTTCCAGCATGATTGTCCACCAAAAGATCCACACTGGGGAGAGGCCCTATGAATGTTCTGAGTGTGGGAAGGGGTTTTGGATCCACTCCCATCTTTTCCAGCACTATCAGAGCCACACAGAGGAGAGGCCCTTCTGCTGCCCCGACTGTGGGAAGGGATTCAGGGAGAACTCTGATCTTGTCACTCACCGGCACATTGACACCGGGGAGAGGCCCTACGAGTGTCCCCAGTGTGGGAAGAGCTTCTCCAGCAGCTCTCACTTGACCCAACACCAACGGAGGCACCGCTAAGGGAAGCCCTGCGAGTGCCCCGAGTGCGGGAAGAGCTTTGTGTGCTGCTCCAGCTCCATCCCCCAGTGCAGGAGCCGCTGCCTTGGCTACCTGGGGGCCGCCTCTCATCTGCCTTTGAAACACTGGGACCATGTGCTTTTCTTTCCTATGGGAAAAATCCATCCATCTCAACCAGGCACCCATGGCCAAAATTGGGCAACTGCCTCTGGAATTCCCTATATCCAAGGATAGCTCCCAGACAAAAGCTGCCAGGACTGACAAGTCTGGCTGGCCTTGTCTTCCTGAGGGCTGGGACTCATGTGCCTCTGAAACACTGGGGCTCTGTGCTTTCCTTCCTAATGAAAAGAACTCTTCTTCCTGTCCAGGCACCCATGGCCAAAACTGAGGTTCCACCTCCAAAATGCCCTATGTCCAAGGATAGCCCCAAGACAAACAGTGCCAGGAGAGACAGGTCTGGCTGGATTGGCCTAAGGGTGTCCACCTCCGGCACCTCTGGGGCTGTGTCACAGAGCCACAGAGCAGCTGTGATGTCAGAAAGGGGCTGTGTGACATCACAGTGTGGGCTGTGTGAGCTCACAGATTGGGCTGTGACATCACAGAGCTTGTTGTGTGAGGTCATCAAGCAGCTACAGCATCATAAAGCAGGCTGTGATGTCACTGGCTGGGTTTTGACATCACAGATTGGCTGTATGATATCGCATTGTTGCTGTGAGTTATCACTGAGTGGGTTGTGACATCTCAGAGCAGACTATGACATCAGAGGGTGGATGTATGACACCACAGAGTTGGATGCGACATCACAGAGCAGGCTGTGACATTGTACAGTGGGCTGTGAGATCACTGGTCGCCCCTGGTGCCGCAGCCTCCCCCAGAGGATGTTCCACAAGATCGACGCCAGAGCCTGGCACGGGGATGGGGGACCAGGGCCCTGGGTGTGGGACAGGGGCACAGGGACCCCCTGGCAGTGTCCCCGTGTCCCCCAGGGCCAGAGCCTGGGCCAGGGCTCCTTCACCCTGTTACGAACGAGGGCTTGAGAGCGCTGAAAAAATCCCCAGCAAAGGAGCAGCAAAAACCAGATTTAATATTAAGGGACAGCACCACAAAGTTCCTTGGCAAGAGTCACTCCGCTCCTGACTGGACACTACAGGCACACCAGGGAAACAAAGCAACAACAAACCCAAACCAAATCCAGGTAATCAAATCAGAAATGAACCAAGAACTGTCCCTGTGTGTGTGTGTGTGTGTGTGACACAAGGACAGTGAGGGCAAGGATAAAAGGAATATGGCCTAAAAGCTGAACAGAGTTCCAAGTTAATAGGAATTAACTTGTACCTTAACCATAACTGATGCCTTCAACTTCACAATTTAGCAAAAGAACAGCACTTAACAGTATTTAACAGTATTTAACCTATCTTTAAAACCTATGACTTAGCAATTTAAAAGAGGAATAACACTTAACAATATTTAACTTAGCCTATAACTTATATTAAACTTAGCAAAAGAACAACTCTCAGAAGCATTTCACTTAGCTTAGACCTCATGATTTAACCTGACTTACAGGTGTGACTGACTCAGCTATCCAAGCACTCCAACCCCTCAGAGAGCAGCATCTCTTCCCCTTTTCCCCAGCACAGGCACTCCTGTGTGCACACAGACACCAAGAGTCAGTGCAAGGCACCTGTGAGAAATTCCCCTGAGGGCAGGAAATGCTCCCTGTGGATCCTTTGGCATCTCCCCAGCGGGTGAAGGGTTGAGCCTGGAGGAGTGGGGGGATCGGCCCAGGCTCCCTCATTGTTTGGGATCCCCGAGTGCAGCAAACGGGAGAGTTCCCGGCTGGGAGAGGCCCCACTCAGAGGGAGTCGCTGGCCCAGGAGAGCTCCAAGGGGCTCCTTTTGGAACGCTGTTTGTAGGGCCCCAAGAGAGGGGCTGCAGTCCTAGCAATGGTTCATCCTGGCCGCACTTGGCATCAACAGCTTTCTTTGGCAGTGTGGGAACAGGGATCTTGTGCCACCGAAGGAACAAAACCAATTCCCAGGGCTCCTCCTAGAGAAAGCAGGAGCTGGTTGGGCAGCAGCAGTGCCTGGAGCAGACAGTGTTTGTGCTGAGCTGCAGAGGAGCTGAGCCCAGGGGCTGCAAGGCCCAAGGAGCATTTCTCAGCTGGCAGGGCGGCCTGAGAAGGGGAGGGGGGAATGCAGCAGCACAGGGCCCATGGAACCAAGGGACCATGGTGACACTGTGGGGCCCTGTGAGACCAAGGGACCATGGTGACACTGTGGGGCCCTGTGAGACCAAGGGACCACGGTGACACTGTGGGGCTCTGTGAGAGCAAGGGACCATGGTGACACTGTGGTGCCTTGTGACAGCAAGGATCCACCATGACATTTTAGGGCCTCATGGGACACTGTGGGGCCCTGTGACACCTGTGACACTGTGGGGCCTCATGGAATCATGGAGGGCACTGTGGCATTGCTGGGCCTCATAGAACCAAGGGGACCGTACTGACGTTGTGTGGCTGCATGGAATGTAGGGATCATTGTGATACTGAGAGGCCCCATCCAACATAGGGTCCATTGTGACACCACAGGGCCTCATTGAACTGTGGAGACCATTATGATGCCTTGGGGTGTCATGGAATCAAGAGGCCATTGTGACACTGTGAGACCCTATGGAGCCAAAGGTCCATTGTGACACTGACCTTGTGGAACCACGGAGAGACCATTATGACACTTCACAGACTCATGGCACCAAGGGCACCATGGAATTAAGGAGACCATTGTGACACTGCAGGGCTTCGTGGAACCAAGGGAGCATTGTGACATGGTGGAACCCCATCCAATCAAAGGTTCGTTGTGACACTGCAGGGCCTCGTGGAACCTAGGGGCCATGGTGACAATGTGGAACCAAGGATCCATTGCTGCACTGCAAGACCTCATGGAAACAAGGATCCATTGTGACACTGTGGGGCCCAAGAATCCAAGGGACTTTGTGACACCAAGGGGTCCCATGGAACCAAAGGAACACTGTGACACTGGGAGGCCTCATGGAATCATGAAGACCATCGTGACACTCTGGGGCCTCATGGAACCGTGGTGATACCAAGCTGGCTGAGAGTGTTGATATGCTGGAGTGGAGGAGCGCTCTGCACAAGGACCTGGACAGGCTGGATCCAGGGACCAAACCCAACCCAAGGTGAGGTTTAACAAGACCAAGGGCTGGGTCCTGCACTTTGGCCACAACAACCCCTGCAGCGCTACAGGCTGGGGACAGAGTGGCTGGACAGCAGGCAGGCAGAAAGGGACCTGGGGGCACTGATGGACAGCAGGCTGGACCTGAGCCAGCAGTGTGCCCAGCTGGCCAAGAAGGCAAATGGCTCCTGGCCTGGATCAGGAAAGGTCTTTTCCAGCCTGGTTGATTCTCTGATGATTGTGACACTCTACGGCCCTGGGGAAGCAAGGAGCCATTGTGTCACTGCAGGGCCTGGTGGCACCAAGAGGACCATGGTGACACTGTGTATGACAATGTACCACAGACTCACAGGGTCATTGTGACACTGGGGGCTGGATGGAAGCAAGGAGTCCATTGTGACCATCTGGGTCCTGGTGGAACCACAGAGGCCACTGTGACACTGCGGCGCCTTGTTGAACCAAGGGGCCATTGTGCCACTGTGGAATCAGGAAGACACTTGGGAGAGCCTGGGGACAATGGGATCAGGGGGCCATTGCTCCATTGCAAGGACTCTGGGAACTGAGGGAACAATTGTGACACTGTGGTGCCTCATGGAACCAAGGGTCCCTGATGACACTGCAGGATCTTGTGTCACCAGGGCTCCATTGTGACACTGCAGCACCACGGAATTCCTTGTGGCACTCTGAGGCCTCATGGAACCAAGAGACCACTGTGACCCTGCAGGGCCTTGTGAAACCATGCAGAGCATTGTGGCAGAGCAGGACCTGGTGTCACGATGGGGCCATTGTGATACTGCAGGGCCCCATGGAACCAAGGGGCCAGTGCTGCTCCTCAGGGACTCCTGGAATGAAGGAAACATGTTTGACAACATGGTGGCCCTTGGGACCAAGAGGCCATTGTGACACTGTGGAACCAAAGAGAGCATTTCTGCACTGCCAGACCTCGTGGGACCAAGGATCCACTGTGACACTTCAGTACCTGGGGGGACCATGGTGCCATTGTGACACTGCAGGGCCCAAGAATCCAAGGGACTTTGTGACACCATGGGGTCCCATGGAAGCAGAGGGACATTGTGACACTGGGAGGCCTCATGGAATCATGGAGACCATTGGGACTCTCTGGGGTATCATGGAACCATGGTGGTACCAAGTTGGCTGTGAGTGCTGATCTACTGGAGGGTAGCAGGGTTTTGGATCCAGCCTGTCCAGGTAGCACCAGGACCTGGACAGGCTGGATCCAAAACCAACAATGTGAGGCTTTGTGGCCAAAACCAACAATGTGGGGTTCAACAAGTCCAAGTGCCAGCTCCTGCACTTTGGCAACAACAACCCTTGCAACACTGCTGATTCTGTGGTTCTCTAAAAGTGCCCTTGGAGCAGTTGCAGGATAAGCCCTGGGGCTCCTCTTCAGAAGCTCCAGCAGCCCAGGTCCCTCAGCTTCTCCTGCCAGCCCCAAAGCCCATCCTGTCAGTCCTGCAGAGCCTCTGCGGCTCCTCCTCATTGCCCAGAACAGGGAGCCCCACAGGCAGACACAGCAGCCCAGATGTGCCCCCCTGGCCTGGGGTGCCTCTGGCAAGGGAGCTGCACCAGGCACTGCAGGAGCCTGCAGACAATTCCTGCAGCACTTGGAGGATGATCTTGGTCCCCAAGGGATGTTCCCATGGTTCCAAGTCAGGAACTGCAATGCGGAGTGGGGCCAGAGGGGGAAGGGCAAACAGGGATGGGCTGTTTGCAGGGGATGAAACAGGGATAGGCTATAGGAAGAAATCTGAACCAAGGAAGAGTAAAGAAAGCAAAGGTGAATCAAAGGAAATGCTCAGGGCAGTTTGGGGGTGGCTGCCAGGCAGCCCTGGCTCTGTGGAACACCATCTGC